TTATCTCACATTTTGTATCATGAAATCTTGTCACTTTATCAGTTTTTTTTTTTTTTTTTTTTTTTTTTTTCATTTATTTAAAATATATCTACAATCTATACAGTTTTTGTACAATAATTAGATTTGATAGGAAAGAATATAAAATTAACGGCGAATAATAGGATTGGGAAGTTATCCATTGATAACACCCAGCAAAACTTTATCAGTTATACTTTTAAAACATGTACAAATTATGTACATTGTACGGTCAATGGGGTGGGTACAGGCCCTGTTCGTACACAAGTCCATATTTATTTCATAGGCGTGCACAGACTTTATTCGCAGGTTATGCAATAAGGAAAATAGGGCCCCCTCACAAATTCTAATCTTTCCTTAATTTATTCTAAAAAACAATTCTAAGCCGTTAAACATTTTTTTTAACACATATAGGATTCAATTTACAATCTAAGTTTTTGCAAATATACTACTTAGCTTTTTTGCTTCACTCGGAATCTGAAATCACACATAGTTTTACAGTAGAATATTAAACAATGCGCTGTAGAAATAAATTTGAATTATATTTATTTAAAGAAAATTTGATCAAGTATAATATACTAGTATGAATGTTTTTGAATAATTTTAACATATTAATAATGTTGTTATTTCATGGAAAGTACTTAAAATCTAAACTCTAAAGTTCAAGTCTTCTTTTTATCGGCACACATGTTTTGAATTAATCTATTACTTCTTCAATATTGATTTCTGATGCCATTTTTTGCTCGATAAATATTAACATCAGTGAATCAAGACGTTCTTGTGACATAGTACCGGACTCAGTTATAATAATAATATGGTCTTTGATTACAAACTATAAAAACAATAATAATTATTCTATTCTTACAACATAGATAACAATACCTACGTGTTACGCTTTAGTGTATTAATAGTTTAGATTATCTTGCGGGTCGCCAGAAAAGTGAAAACTAAAATTTTTATTATTTTTTTTTTAATATAGAAAATATTATCAAATATGCTTTGGTATATTATATAGGTATGGGCCCCTCACATAAAGCCGCAGACTATGCAGCGGCATACCCTGTATACCCTGTGCGCACGCCTATGATTTATTTCATAGATACCATTAGACAACGGTGTCCAAACTTGACACTTTCAATGATCTTGTGGTATTCAAATGTAAGTGTTTAAATAAATAACTGACTAAATAAATAACTGAATAAACTACTGACACTAACTGAAAACCAATATTTCTACTCGGATTACCGAGTTCGAAATTAATTTACAAACGATTAATAAACCAACTGATTGAAAATGAAATTTATACATTTTATATTATGTTAAAGTGTACTTTTAATATTGTTTTGCGTCAAATGATCTTTAAAATGATAAAATATGTAATATTCTGCAGTAATAGTTCTTATATAGTACAGTATTCTTAGTTCTTAATAGTTCTTAGGTCTGTATGAGAAGTACTATTCTTACTCTACAGTTCATCGTAATGGACTTTTCACACGCGAATTAAAATATATTTAAAAATTACTCGTCTAATCGAATTTTTTTGTCAAGTTTTTTTATTAATCAGAAAGCTTAGGATTAGTAAAGGAAACGGATATTACCTACTCAAAATTCAAAATAACGCGTTTAATGGTACGACCATTAATTATTATATAGTATTATACTATTTTTAATAAGATATTATAATACATAATCCCATAATATGTATTATATACACTTATGTCATTGTTTATATTATATTGTCATAAAATAACAATAACATATAAAATATGGAAATGAAAGCCCGTTCGATTTTATGCTCACCTTATTTTTAAGCTTAAATTATTTATATATTCTAATTCTTATTTTAGATTCTGAGTGGAACGATGAATGTATTGATTTTACAATGATGTGTGTTTTTTTTCAAATTTTTTTTGTGTCTGTGTACACGATAAGTAGTCGAAATAATGCTTCGATTTTCAACTTCAGTATCTTGTTCGACTGGAAAGTGAATAACGTTGGTGCATTGAGCAGGTCAAAATTTAAAATTCCCAGTAATTTTCAAAAGCGCCAAGAAAAACCAAAGAAAATTTAAGGAAAAACGGGAATTTTTACGCAAAATCGATTTTTCACAAAATTGAATTTGGTTTTTGGTGTAACTTTAAAACAAACGACCGTAGATACATGGAATTTTCACTAGTTGTTTATATAAGCATTTTCTATACACGATAACATTTTCAAAATATTTTGATTTATTTTGAACTGTTTAGGGACATTTTCATTTTCCATTTTTTTTTAGTTTTTTTTCTAGAAATATCAATAAGATTTTATTTATTGGTTAAAAAAGCATGACAATTTAATAGAAGGCTCCTAGTATATTGTTTCAAAGGCAGATGAAAAATATCAAAATTCCTTAGTCACAGTTTTTTTTTATAAGAATTTAAAGTTCAAAAATTGACAAAATATGGAAAAATAGCGAAAATTAGCAAACTATTTTGAATTAAGAAGTCGTAAAAATTTTTCTTTTTAAATCTAAGTTTTTAAAATGTAATACATGATTCCTTATAAGATTATCTACCTTTATCAATAAAAAAATGTCTATAAGAAAGTCAAATTAAATTTTTTTGAGCGTTTGAAATTCAAATTTTTACAACATTGGATATTCACTCAATTTCTCATGTAGCGATTTCCTTATTTTGTTGTAATTCAAAAACGAATAACTGTAGATACATGAAAATATTTTATTTATTTTGTTGTGATTGTATAATATTATTCGTGGGTACTTGAAACTTCTAAAGTATACTACTATATATCTATGATAGTATCAGGGTTTGTTGTTGGTGTATAACGCGTTATAGTACATAATGGATATTGTGTTATGATTAATTTGGAATTCATTATAAGTCAATTTTTTTTAATACCATCGATAAGTATATAGTATGTTTTATACCTAGAAGGACATAAAGTCTCCGCTCAGAATCGTTTTTCTTGTACAATGATATAATATCATTGAATTCAGGGGTGTATACAAGGGGGGATGTGGGGGTCAGATCCCCCCCATAGGCCTTTTTTTAAATTTTATAAAATAGTGTTCTTAATGACTTAATGTAAGGAAATTACAAGGAAAAAAAATGGCAAGGATTTTTTGTAAATTTTTATTTTAACACAATATTCAACAATTAATTAAAAATAATTTACTTAATATTAATCAGTAATCATATATTTATTTCATATTCATATAATCGTATTATGTGATATTTGATAATATGTATATTATATATACAAGTATAATAAATTATTATAAGAATAATAATATGTGGCAGACCAGCCACGGGCCGTCGCGCGTCGCCACCGTCACCGATATCAACGCGGCGGAGACGACGCCCGCATGTCCATGCGTATAATAATTAATAATACATTTTCCTATACATTAGAAAAAGAAATATTATTATGGTATAATAGGTATAAGGTTATTGCACGATGGTTTTTACGCATTTACACCAAAACATTATCAATTTTGTATATTATCAACTAACATGGATATACCTACAACATACTAGCTAATAGCTATCAGTAATTTGTTCATTGAAAGCTAAAAATAGCTTAAATAATAAATTTTATTGACTAAAAAAAAGGAAATTAAATTTTGTTCTATGATTACTTGTAGAATTTAAAATAAAATGTATTGAATATATATATGTTTTATCATTTATTAGGTATTTAAATGAGCACATACCTAGGTTTAGGTATTTTCGTTCCATAATAATTTGTTTGCAACTGATCCCCCCCCCCCCCCCATACAAAAGTTATGTATACGCCACTGATTGAATTCAAATGTAATACCATCCATTATACAGTGACCCACTTGTAACCTACTGTACAGCAGAGCGACACCCACTTGCCCAGCTTTTTAATATTAAAATACACTTTAAAACCATATTTTTAATACATGGGATTTATTTGTATCACCTAAATATGATATTGTTGCAATACAAACTTTTGTTTTTCATATAGGAAATGGGTTGTGCTGGCACCCACCTGTACGAAATGCGAATAACTTTGGAAGGTATGAAGCACTATAACGGCGGGATAAAAACGTGCACTAACGAAGCACAAACGATCATCCCGGGTTTTGACCAGAAATTTGCAATGGGGGGGGGGGGGGGGGTGCCGGGAACATGGACCTAACGTTAAACGTTTGTAAACTATAATATTATGTTTTTGTAGTCGTGTACCTATAATTTTGTGGTAAGTTCCTTTATAACCCTTTCAAATAAAACTCGGATTCAGGTGTAACGAGGGTATCGTCTTTGTTGTCTGGCGGTGGGCCTGTACCTACGTTATTCATGCTTAATGGTTGAGTTGACGGGATTTAACACATTTTAACCACAGCTGTTTTGAGACAGTCCGAATAGTCTGTTTGAAGTGGGAAGGTATTTGTGTTGTGAAAAACGGTAGCTATTTGGAAATTGACCCTTTTGTAACACGGAAGCCGTTTAGGATAAACGGTACTGAATGCCCCAGTGGCGTCCCTAGACCCTTTTATAGGGGGGGGCGAACTTCATACATCACCTATATATATATGAAAATACACCAATTACTAGGTGTTTTACCTGATTTAACTCGGGGTATGTAATGTCATTAGGGCAATAGGGCATTCGACATAGGCATAGTTATAGATACAAAAAACAAAGTATAATTAACAGAGTCACAGTTTTAAAATATTTGTGTACATATTAAATTATTTAAATTTAAATTAATGAATTAATGAATGAAAAATGAAAAATGCAAAAAAAAAATGTACAAATCAAAGAATAAAATTTGACGATGAAGTTTGATCAATCCATTCAGATATATAAGTCAAACTGTCAATAATTTCTGATAAGCACATTTGAAATTCAAAAATACACTCATGCCGTTCGACCCATCGTGTTTCGCATAATCCAGTAATAGAGCGTTTAAGGCCTTTAAGGCAATTTTTTAAAACAAAACTTCTTTTGGAAGATGTATTAAAAAAAAGATAGAACTTCTTTTATGATGCCCATAGTGTTTCTAACTAACTGTACATTAGATGACTTTGAGATGCTCAAGTTCAATGCATGGTTTGAACATGGACTGTAAACAGCACTGGGACAGTTTTTCTGAATTTCAGCAACTGCTCCACGTGTTACAGATGTCATGACTGAGCACCCATCGGTTCCAATCCCTACACAGTTATTTAAGTCTAACGACATGTCTTTCATAATTGATACAACAGCATTTCCCAGAACAATACCAGTTAATTTTAGTTCTACATTATCTTCTGTAAGTTTTACTAAATCAGCGGACTTATATAATTTTTTCCTAGTATTATATTTTAATAAAAATTATGAACATTTTAAGAAAGAAAAAATAGCTCATGGAGGGGGCGACTGCCCCATTCGCCCCCCCCTTGAGGACGCCCCTGGAATGCCCTAATTGTGTTATTGTTGTCTGGAGGCTACTGCTGGCTGCCTTATCCCTTGCAGTGACTTGCCGCCATCACCTATTCATTCACAGCCTGTCAGACCGTAAGTAGGTAGGCAATAAAATCTTATTGTTAAACGTTTGTAAATTATAATAATAAGTGTTTGTTGTCATGTGGTTTGTTCCTTTTTATCCATTACAAATGAGACCCGTGTTACATCCACGATTAAAGATATACAGGTTGCACATCGACTACTGATAAGGTGAAATACGAAATGACTACCAATAATTAACCAGTGGCGCTCCAAGCGGCAGTATTACAATTAACCAATTATAGATATATAGGTGTAAAATTAGTTCTAAATGTCGACACATATGGTTGAGTGTTGACATTAAGCGCCACTAGTTAATTATTAACAGCTGATTTTTATAGTCACTTTGTAAATCAGTCTGGAAGCGGTTTACTATAGGGCGATGTGCAACCTGTATATCTTTAATCGTGGTTACATCACACCTTGTGATGACGGTATCAACATTGTTGTCTGGCCTGTACACTTATAATTGACTCAAACTTAACGGTTATAATATGGCGGGGTATTATCGATTTTTCTGTTTCAATATTAATTCAGTGGGCTATTGATTCCACCGGATATATTTTATTTATGATAATTAAACCCACCGTTTATTAAACAATAACCGATGTATCATATATTATATAGAATTTTTCTAATTGACAGTATGGGCACACGCAGTTTACCATGCAATAGCAATGGATGGTATTAAAGTCGAATTCAATGATTCAATATCATTATATAAGAAAAACAATTTTGAGCGAAAATGGTTAGTAAGCCTATGATATTACGAAGTATATTATTTGATGATACTAAGGTGAATAAAGTAATTTATATATAACCTATTTACGTAGAATCTTGTTTTAAATTTTCAATTATTAGCTATAAAAGTTGAACATTTTATAAATTTTTAACTACAAAATTATTATTAAATTTTAAATGTTATAAATTTTGTCCTTCACCTATTGTCATATTATTATTATTAGTTTACGACCGTGTAACGTAATTGGGGTAAATAAACGTGTCGGCGTCGATCGTCACAAAAGGTGCTCTTTATTGTTATTTATTTTTTCTGTAAGTCGATATAATCGTCATATTATAGTACCAAAGACTTTATTATACACAACTTGATACCTACTCAATTATATTTAATATAATATGATTTATATGGGTTATGGCCTATGGGTTATGGCCTATGGGTGGTTATTAGCGATGTGCTGAATTGATACATATTTATTAGCTCAACAGGTTAGACCCATCTCAAATACCGAAATATAGACGTATTTTACATGAAAACCTTCCATGAGACACGGCCTGTTAATTAGTGAGACTGTACTAAAATCCGATGAGTATACCTACCTACTTTTTGAGATATACACGTAGGTACATGCAAAAAATGGTCTTCTATTTTATAATATTATATAATATGATTATTCAAATAATAAATCTATATAACAATGCTTTCTAACAGAGTTAATTGAGTCTAACCTTTTGTGTTAAATAATAATATAGTACCTATTTCACTTTGTACGATGTTTGTGCCCTATAATAATAATTCCGGATTCGTTATTCGGTCATCCAGAAATCAGTCTAAGTTCCAAAAACAGTAAGATTATGAATATATAATATGTACTTAGGTGTACACTATAAATATTAAGATTGTAAGTGAAACCCGGCATCAATTTTATGTTGATTGATGGTGGGCTTTTTTTTAAATTTCTGATTCACAATAACTTTAGTATGGCGTATCAAAAGCATATATAGGTACCTATATATATAATATATATATTAATTATATGCACAGAATACAGTTAACAAATAAATTAAAGCTATATGATTGTGTTTTGTATTTCAGTATATGCTTACAAAGAAGTTACAATTGGAAATCAAGTATTTTAAATTGATAGAAGTATACAATATTGAATATATAATTTTTTTTATGTTGTAACCAAAATATTCATCAATGATTAAGTACTAAATAATTTGAATATTTAAATACATTTAATTGTGCAAATTATGCTTATTATTATAAAACAATTGTAGGGAATAGTATTTCAGTCTTGGTCTGTGATTGGTGAGTAAGTTTAAAAATGTGTTAAATATTTAACATTTTCCCCGTGCTTACCTACATTTCGTATTAACGTTAAATGCTTAAATAACATACTAAAATAAACGACTAAAATTAGATTTCGAACAATACTATAGTTTTTAAGTAGTAAATACCATTTTTATAACAATAAAGGTGAACATAAAGTAGGTATCCTATTTAAAAGCAATATTTAATTTTAAACAGCATCAATCAGTACAATTCAACTGTGACTAATTTTATCTACAATCCAGTCGACAAAATATGACACACTATAGTATATACACCTGGATATTCTGGTTCACCGCAGTTAAGTCGACCACAAACCCACCAGATCATATTGACAAAAACTTGGTCTATGATGCGATAAGACTGGCAGCAGATGGGTTGAATGAACTCTATATTAAAAAAGAGTTAAGTGTAATATAATGCAATCCAATATATGTATATGACACCCTAGTTTATACACATGGATATTCTGGTTCACAGCAGTTAAGTCGAAAAGTGAAAACCCACCAAATAATTTGTTATTTTGTTATTATATTGATTATGTTTGGATAACATGAAGTATAGAAATTAAGTAATTGTTGAGATCTCGAGAAACAAATGCAAACTAATTTTGAGTTACCAATATTTTATCATACGTGCACATTCATTCCAATGTAGTAGGTATATAAACATATAGGTACTATCTACAATTTTCAATCTACTACATTGGTTGGCAATTTATACCAATAACGTTTACAGTCAAGTTAGCTGACTATAGTTTTAAATAAAAATTTAACAGATAGTTCATGTTCAGATATTAAAACTTTCAGATATAGAGTTGTTTGGATCCCAGTTGATAAAAAAATAAATAATTAAATCAATGTTGAAATAGTGTAGACTGTATGTCACAATACACATTATAAAGATCCGCTTGTGACAAGCGTCTTATCCGTCCGATCCAGCGCATATTATCCTATCGTCGATAATGATTTTTTGACTGTAATGATATACTCGTTTATACATTCTGCATTATCTAACACGGGTAATTGAATTTTCATTAAGACAGAAGACAACGGTCATTTTAAACAATAGTTATATTGTTATTACACCCAAATTTATATTATAATATATTTAAAATAATATGACGTAGGTAGATACTCTTTAGGTAAGGTATAGGTTGACTTACTAAGTGATTCGGAACCCCATCCACCTACAAACGGTACAGAGACACAGAGTCTAATAACTTGTTTGATCTATGATGCGATAAGAATGGCAAGCAGATGGGTTGAATGAATTCTATATTAAAAAAGATAATACACACAGGAGCAGATAATATTATCAGCAATTTATATATAGGTCTGGTAAGGTTACCTTACATGCTATATTATATTATATAGGCTACCTATTATCTAGAAATAACTCATGTAGGTATACTATAAATGACTACAAAGACCCTATATTTATTTGATATTCTTTAACCAAAAAAATAATGATAATAATAATAATAAAACCAATAGGAGGTATTTGCAAGTGTGCAACATTATTTTACGACGATTATCTAGCATTAAATGTGTTTATTGAAATGTGTAGGCTCTTTAAAGTTAGTTATAATATTATGTGATAAGTTTCAAATACCTATCAGCGATATCGGTAGAATTAAATTGAGGTATATAGGATACGGAACGAAATATTATCAGTTGATGACAAAAGTTTCTTGAAATTTGAGTCAAATTTGACTCATAGCGATGAGTGATTATCGACAGTGGATAGTTTTTGTATTATACTTGAATTAGAATTTATATATAGCCATATAGGTACATAATATATCGACCTTGATTGACCAATCACACTGTAGTCTGTAGGAGCCAGTTTTGCAACCCCCTTAAGCAAACCCCCCCACATAACTTTATGCACCCCCGTGTTCTATGTCGTTGTAATTTCAAATATGTATTGTTTTATTTATAGAATTCAATTTTAACAATTGGTTTTTTCTTAATAATCTTTCAATTTGGAGACCACTACCCGACGAAATATTGAACACATTAGTAGCTATCGATATAGGAATAAATGTTTAACACTTTAAATTTTAATATTATAAAATACCTACTATAAAAAGATGTGTTAACATCTAATCTATTAACTTTTCATTTTTTTTTACAGTAGAAGTATACTGACAATTTGAATTGTATTTTTATTAACATAAGTAATATATTTTGCAATTATTACTAATTTTATTAAGATATTTAGTTTTTATGCATATTTTTGAATTTTTGAGAGCATATAAATATGTTCATGGGGGACGAGGTGGCCGAGCGGTCTAACGCGTCGGCTGCGGCGCTGGCAGTCGCGGGTTCGATTCTCTCGGCCACTGGGTGGCATTTTTCTCCGGGCAAGTCACGGTGTCCGGAGAACAAGTGCCGCCATCCCCCACCCGTGCATGGCAGATACCTACGGGTGCCCAATCAAAAATTCTGCCCAAATCCAACACACACGTGTTCCTCCCCCTACCGACATTAACAACCCACAAATAAACCACTACAGCTAATGGCCATAGTTGCCGAAGCTTAAGATCAATAAAAAAAAAATAAAAAAAATATGTTCATATTTAACAATAATTATTGTGTAACAACAAATTGTGAATATAGTATAATCT